AGCCACTGAACTCGCACTTGTTCAAATTTCAAACTGTTGAATATGGAGGAATATAATAAACAATTGCGTTTAATGGTATAAATTTTGTCTATATTCAGCTCTAGCTACATGAATGTCACTTTGCAAAGATGAAGAAGGGGATGTAAGAGGACACTGAGTTCAGTCGAGCGGTTTGTAGACGTAGGGAAAGCTCTACCTCCCCCCCCCCCCAGTGTTGTCCCCCTGGGACTCCCTCCTGCCAGAGTACAACCTGCCCTCCCTCGCACTATTGATGTGTCCATGACTCTTTGCTGTGCTCTGACATTGGCCCCCCGCTAATGGCTCAGTCGGTGCACTGGTCAGCAAGTAAACAAGACCGTCAAAGTGTTGTTTAGTTAGTTTGTGTAGCTTTTGTAATCCTGGTAACCAACAAACAAACATAGGGTGAAAACATAATCTCCATGGAGGAGGTGATGGTGAACATGTAATGTATTGTTCAGTTTTACTTTACAGTCAAGATTTACACGTGCTGCCCTTGCAGGAGGCCTCATTGCCTGAGATCAGTGTCCACCGTCACAGATAACAGAGAGAGGAATGTTGAAAATGGCAGCTCAGCGGAGGTCGCAGCACGTCCACAGTATGATGGAGGTGCAGACTTTACAGAACAGTAAATCTACGTGGATCGTCAAGTGCATAGGTGTGGGAGAGAAAGGGCATTCTCACCAGGGACACTCAAATGAGAAAGAGGGTTTTCATTCTCACACTCGACTCATTCTGGCTCAGCTCCAGTCGGGGCCAGTGCCAAGTGCATAACACCGGCCCTAACATGGCCGAGCCGGGTGAGGCTTCAACACTTTACTCACACACCTCACTTGTTTTTAATCACTGGCTTTGACTGACACGTAGGCCGAGAGCTCGACTTGCACCTCAGAGTCTGACCGTCACTGACGATAACAACAATTAGTGATTTTCTTTTTTCTCCTATGATTGATGTCGGCTTCTCTTGGGCCAAACAGTAATCTTGTGCATCATCCATCACAGCTCCATCAAAACTGGATTAGTAGTGAAGTAGTTTCTCAGATTGTAACTTTAAATTTTAATTAGAGCTTCGCCATTAGGCCGATGAGGTAAATGTTTTTAAATACTCAACCATCTTCCCAAAGTGCATCATCTGTAAAGATGTGGGCAAATTTCATGTCGTACTTCAAGATACGTTCGTTTCCTTCAATGCAACAGTCAAGAAGTGAATGGCTGGATTTGGTTTTATATAAATCGCTTATGTTTTATTTTTTCTATTTATGTTATGCTCTCCTTCTTCGCTTTGTTAGTGATCGTGCCAGAGTAGGAGCAGTGTTTTCTGTGGGGTAGAATAACCTTTAACTCAAGAGTTACATTTAGACCAAGCAGTGTAGAGTTTAAACACTGCAGTGAAAAGATTCACCATATTCTCGAATGGACTAAAATGCCGTAGCATAAAAATGCTGCGGCTATTAGGACAATTATATTTTTTATAAGTCACATAAAGGGCAGAAAACAATCTCATGAGTATAATAAATAACGTTTCTATTGGATTAATGCAACCTTGACAGTTGTCTGGTGAAATGGGTCCTCGGAGGCCGCTGCAATGCAAGACGATCCCCTCCCATTGTTGTGTTTGGCAGATGATGAAATGATCTGCGTGGAAAGGGTGTACAGAGCTTTGATTGAAGCCCGTTTAAATGACACCTCTCGTCGGGTGCATCATTAATCCCCCCGCCGCGTGTTTGTCACGGATCAGGCCAAATATGAATAATGTATTGGGCGACATCTGACTGAGAGGCTGGTTAAAGGTGACGCTCGCTCTAATGACAGCAAACAAGCTCTCGTTTGACATTTCCAAGGAAACTACGAGGAGAGAGAGAGCGAGTGAGAGAGTGATGGACGGAGTTGTGTTTAGATCCAAAGTAAGAACTCACTCCCTTTAATTGGCTACTGTATGTGATGAAATGTGAAAAGATGGCTTCATCTTTATGGCATATTGTGACAGACGCATAGCTGCAGGCTAACTGCATCTGTTTGTTATCAGATTAAAGAGATTTAAAGCATCTGTTGAGGTGAAAATAATGCAACAATAACCTCTGTCATTCAGCAGTATACAGGTAAATACATAGATACACCGTAGACTGTACATAAAGATCCCCCCAAAACAATTTTCTCAAAGATGGTTTCTATCATTTTTGGGTACGTTTGTTTTCTGATACTGAGACTGACACATGATTGGTTGAGCAAATTAACTGTTGGGACCTTCCAACCCCCATCGCCCGATTGCTACTAAGCAGGCTCTGGCTCCAAAATGGATCCAAGATGGAAGTGTTCATATCCAGCATAGTTCGGCTTCATTTCTGAGAGGAAACACTGAGACGGGTCGTCTATCTTTATAAAATACATATAATACAGCACATTCATTCATTTATCTCATTTTAACTTTATCTGACGTTTTAAAATAAAAACCATGTAGAAAATGACAATGTACATGATGTCACAAAGCTACATGTTCCAGCAAAACCTTGATGCTACATCCCCAGTTGAGGATTCAAGCAGAAGATATTTAAATAAGGAGGAGCGTTGGTCTTGTAGTGCATGATTGCATATTAAAAAAAAGTGTCGTGATGTTTTTGTTTTATGGAGGGCAAATGAATAAATCTGTGAGGAGAGGTCATTAATTTGTATTTATGTAGATGACAAAAACACACTTGTTTGCTTAAAATATTCTTTGTTTGATACCAGAATAAAACAGTTTCTGCTAACTGCTAATGAAGTTTCCTTTGAGCCAAACATTCAATGCCATACAGACAGACGTTTGGGAGCTAATTTGGTTTCCTGTTTTATAGTTGCATATGGCAAACATCATTATTTTGCATTTTAAATCCCAATGTTCAAATCCCTGGGATCAGATTAATGGCAGTCCAGACATTGCAATCCTGAGGAAGTAGAGGAATAATAAGTGTCAGTGGATTAAGGCGATCCCACAGTTTTGTTTAAATGAAAATGAGCTAAAACGTAAATCTTTAGCGTAATTGTTGGTATTTCCTTTATTTTGACTCCAAACTGTTGATGTTTCGAATATGCCGATGCTCATCCTGTTGAAAATCATCATCTTTGACTGCGTCGTCCAATTTGAATCCCAGAAGAAGAAGCAGCAGATCGTTATCGCTAAAGGAGCATAACTTCCAGTCTGCAACTTACACTTGATCTGATTAAGGCTGCAGCATTTTGCCCTTGGGCGATGTCTGTAGCCTGGCACGGAGACAGATAACACGATCTCCACTCATCTCCAGTTCAGAGTCCAATTTAGCAGCTCAAAACTATGAATAAATCTAACACTCCATAATTGAATTCTTTCTTCAAACAGGCCAGATTTTCAAGGTTAAGGCCCAAATGCAAATCCATTTTCCAGCCTGAACAATGAAAAGTCATTCTCAGTGATCTTAAAGAGAAATTACGTTAGGCAGCAGGGAAAGGCAAAGATTCTTTTTTTTAATTTAAAGGACAATTAGCCGTGTTTGTCGTGTGATTCATTCTCATTTGGAGTCTACGCTGTACTGTATAAATGCCATAAATTATTAATTTGATTACTTGCCCTTTTCTCGGATTGTATGTGTAATAAACAGTGAAAAATAAGAGCTATACAAATGTAATTAGGGTTCACGGCTCCATCATTCGAGGCAACATATTAAGCAAAACCTGCCTCGTATCAATACTTGTCTTATTCTGCCGAGAGACGCCCAGAGTGATACATTCCATTAATTGTTCGGAGGGTTAGTTATTTATTCGGCGTGGTTTCCCTAATTATTTCTCTGGACGTGTTTTGTCTTGTGCATAATTCGCCGCTCCTCGGGGACAGTGCAGCGGGTGGGTGTGCTGAGAGAGCCAGCTAATGGGAGGGAGATGGCAATGAATATCAATGCTGTGACCAGTCAGTCCCTGCAGAGACCAGACACTGTGTTTGTGTTTGTTGTGCGTGTGTGTGTGTGTGTGTGTTTGCTCTGTTAGCTGCTCTGTCCCTGCTCACATCCCGTCTGGATCGAAACCCTGCCCTTCCTGTGCTAAAATAAACCCACCTTGGGAAGTTTAGGACCTTGCACAAAGCGCTGAGTGTTACACCTTTTGATTTTTGACTCGTATTCTGCAGCACACGCACGCTGAAACACACTGAAACTGACAATGAGCACAAAAAGCAATACATGCTGCAGGATCTAATTATTTAGAATTAATTTCAACAGTGGTTCTGTCTCGATTCTAACGACAAATTTCATTATTGCAGAATTTTGACAATGTTATGTGACTGAATTAAATTAAGTGAATTACTTTTCATTTTGAGGACTAAAGACAAACAAATAAAGCGTGTGGGTATTTAATTTTTTATTTTTAAAGTAATAAACAATTTGTGAATACCACAGCATTTCTAAACTCAGATGATTTACAGCAAACCTCCCATGAGAGGCTCTTATGTAAATGCACACAGTCCAACAAGAAAACGCACAAAAACATAAAAGATAATGCAATAAAAATATGTCTACCACTTTCTTCAAACATTGTTTGTACCTTGATTATTCTGGGGTTCTAAAATGTTACACACTGAGTTGGATTTAAAGTTTGGTGAAATAATTAAACTTTAGAAGATCCAGTAGAGCTGTGGCTCGTCATCGTATTGTCACACATATGCGAATAAAGCAGTGCTGAACCTTCACCTTCCGTTCACGTCCAATCCGTTCAAGTGGAGGGTGAAAAATTCAATGGCTTCCTGCAGCGGAGCAAATCTGCAGTTGGGCTTAGTGTGGAGTTCCTGAGTGTGACCATGTCCTGACTGCCTTTTTTCTTTTCATACATGTTGACTTAAGTCTGCAATTCTGTTGCAAGTTGGAAGAGATATGAATAGCTTCAAATCCAAAATGTACATTTCTGTAATATTTCGGTGATAGTGAAGTTGTTTATATTTAACTCTGTCCCTCTCCCTCCATGTTTTTCTCTTTCAGCTCATAGTGGAGAAGACCACTGACTTCCCCTCTGCTGAGTTCTCTCTGGTGGAGGATGTAGCTCTGCACTTCACCTGTTTGATGGACAGGCTGAACGAGCAGCGCCTCTTCCAGCCTGACCTGTGCGACGTCGACATCGTTCTGGTACGTCAGCGCAGCACCTTTCCGGCCCACAAGGGCGTGCTGGCGGCCTACAGCCCTTTCTTCCACTCCCTGTTCGCCCAAAGCAAGCAGCTGCGACGGGTGGACCTGTCGCTGGACGCCCTGACCTCGCAGGGCCTGCAGCAAATACTCAACTTCATTTACACCTCCAAACTGCTGGTGAGCAGCCGCACTGTCCGCGACGTGCTGAACGCAGCCACCCTGCTTCAGATGAGCGACATCGCTGCCTCCTGTCGTGACCTCATCAGCAGCCACTCGCTGAGAACCACCTGCACAGATATGGCAAATCAGGAAGGGCTTGGCAGCGGTGAACCAGCGGTGGCGATTACTGCCAGCCAGCTGTACCGGGAGATCAAACAGGAGTCAGAGCTGGGCAGGGTGTACACGAGGGAGGGCAGCAGCCCGTTTTCTGTGCGGGTGGAGGAGGCGGGAAAGACGCCCTCCCAGCAGAAGCACTACTACCAGAAAGAGGAGGGGACAGGGGGCGGGGCCGGCTCAGGTACTCTGTGCAAAGTAGAAGGCAACGGTGAGGAGTCGAAGTCCTCAGACAGCCACTCCTTCAACAGAGATCAGATCATTGTTGAAGTGAACCTCAACAACCAGACCCTCAATGTGTCAAAGGGATCGGAGGGAAAATCAGCATCCGCCACTGAGACGGCCACCATGTTTACTCGTTGCCATGACAATGAGAGAGATTCAGAAGATGATGATGAGAACGAGCTGGAGAACAATGACACAGTTGAGGAAGATGAGGAAGACCTGAAGAGGGGAGACCTACTGGGACAGAGCAGCGAGGAGGAAGATGAAGAGGAGGATGAAGAGGAGGAGGAGAACACCCTTAACATTCCAGGCTTGGAGCAGACGTCCATAATGGATCGACCTCGACGGGGTATCAGAGCCTTGGCCATGGCGGGAACCACGGCCTCCATGCGGCACACGCTGGCAGAGGCTACACTAGCCAACCAGCGGCCGGGTGGGAAGAGGAGTCTGGATACAGAGGGCCTGGGCCAGAAAGTGAGGCTGGAGGAGAAGCAGCATTTCCCGTGTAAGAAATGCCCCCGCATCTTCAACAACCGCTGGTATCTGGAGAAGCACATGAACGTCACTCACAACCGCATGCAGATCTGCAATAACTGCGGGAAACGCTTCCTGTTGGAGAGCGAGCTGCTGCTGCACCAACAGACCGACTGCGAGAAGAGCATCCAGGTACGATGATGAAACACTCAACCCCCTTGTTTTAGTTTCACTGCAGCATTAAAGCAACACCACCACTTTCTTTCCCACAGAATCAGGTCCTGCAGGTTGAAGAGTAATGCTGAACTGTAGATCAGTTAAAAACACATGGAAACCATTGAAAACCAACGTTTATCTCCAGTATTCAGCAAGAAAACTTAGTGTGGTTCAGGAAGCAGGGGCTCATGGGCAATATCCACTGTTCAGGTGTGTTTTAATTCAGTGAGTGGGACTAAGTATTCACCAGATTGATATTAAACACCATCTGTGGCTGCAGAGGGCGCTGTTGCTCAGTAAAGGTTACATAGTGCTGCTTTAACTCAAATATAGCAGCAAAATTACTGCAACTTAATCCCCTCAATACGTTGACTGGATTGCTTGTTGATGTAAACAAGCACAACTCACCAATATTAAGCCATTTCAATAGTGTAAAGCCAGAGAGATGCTAATGTAGCTAATTAGCTGTGTTGGACCATCTCTACGAATCCATCTGTCTGCGAATGAACTCCTCTACAAAAGAGACATCATTTGCAGACAATTACGAGGAAGTCAATTATACAGATGCTTCTTCATGAAAAAACTGTGTATATTGCAAAATTGGCTCAGAGCGCTTTCCCCCCTCATTAATAAAACTCTGTATTGACTGAAATTATGTTCAGTCCAAATTGTCAGCGGTCCCGAAGCTCGGGAGCTGTTGTCACTGTCACCAAATATTTCTTGCAGATGAGTTTTCCTGTGAGTTTTTCTGGCGGGACTGCACTTTTTACGATTTTAGTTTCTTACTATTTTCTGCCCTTAGTTTTGCCCCTCAGGCGTCACACAGGCTGCCCTGCCCTGCTGATTGGTGGAGCTAGTTGGGTCTGAATGCTGCTATAGAGAGTGAGCTCTGCTGTCACTGCTCCGAGCTGGAACATTTGCATGTTTTGGAAAGAAAGCATCAAATTGATATTTTGATTTCTTGGCCCAAGTTAAGGCACTGTTTTGATACTGGAATTTATATTTAATTAATGCAAATTCAAGAAACCAAACATGATTTTTGTGGGTTGCTGCATTAATATCACAGCTTTACCATGATACCATTTAGGGCTCATTCATGCTGCCTTTCCTTTATGGATGCCATGCTTCCTTTACGTTTGCATGTTGTAAAGCAACAATTTCCAGTGGTGCTGCTCTGTTTCGTCTGTTTCATCCTTATCCTCAAGCTTTCAGAAGACGAGCACAAATATGAAGGAAATAAACGCAGAGTATACCGATGGAGGGCTCCATCTGTTTCCATACACCTTTCTAACGTTGAGCATAAATAAATAAATCAATAAGCCTTTAATAGTCTAACTGTGAAAGACTCCCGTCTTCATTATGCCGCCCTCACTGCTATGCTCATTGTTAAAAAAGTTTGTCACTTTTAATATGTGATTTAGTTACTCATTACTATATGGAATAAAGTAAACATATCAAAACTGATCAGTTAGTAATAATAAATTCTGGTTCTGTCTCAGTTCTTCCACCATTACTCCTCTGCAGTGAGCAGCTGGACTCCTGCTGTGGTTTTGAAGATCATTTTCTGCTTTAATCTACTGACTCTAATAGCTTTTTTTGGTACAGTGCACGCTCAAGTATCTGTGGAAAGCACACACACACACACACACACACACACACACACACACACA